CAATCAACACCAGTATCAGAAAGTACACGTTTATTAGGTCACCTCCCTGGGGTGTAGCAATATAACAATTCTGCTTCTGTGGTGATCTTTTTTCATCAGCTCTTGCATTTTTGGTATCACAGTAGCTAGATCAATAAAACAAAAATGTGGGGAAACATTCTTTCTGATTGACTCAGCTGCCATTTTGGTATTTTGCCTTAACAGGACTACAAGCAACTGAATCTATTATTTTATTCCCCCCCCCCCATATATGAATACACTAACATCATACTTCTAGGGATGCTTTTAACCACTTTTCTTTTGAAAGCCTGATACAAATTAGGTGTAGGTAGTTTTGGATGGTGGTTCATTTCTTCTGTGCCAAATTACAAACCAGAAATGAGCACATTCTTCCATGTGATCTAACCTATTTTTAAATACTACTTTGAATAAGGGTGATGTAGGGGTCTTCATGAAAGTGTTTTGTCTTCACATTAAGTTCATCTGACCCTCATTGCCATCCAGTAATAACTTCTCTTCCAGTCTTTGCTCTCCTACCCTGAACTTCCCACATTTCCAACATTTCCACAAGTCTCATAATTGCCTTAAACACCAAGTATCCAAGACAGTCATGTGATCTTATCCTCCCTCGAAACAGCTCAGATCTCAAATTCCTGATTTCTGTCGATAGCACCGTCTTTCACTCGCACATATGCTATATCCTCAGTCATTGTGGTAGGTGTGTCTCTCTCATCTTCGTGTATCCATCCAGTCATTACCACATCTTGTCAGTACTTCTCAGGGATACTGAGTTAAGAAGGTATAAGAGGCAGATTTCTGCTGAGAAAACTCACTTTTGCACATGATTTGCCCATACCAAAACTTCCACAGAGTTTCTGGTTAATATGGGTTGCAAATCTAATTTGTTCCCCTTTATTCATAGTTTAGAACCTTCTTCTTCAGATCACCAACCCTCTGAGACCACTACCATGAACTAATCAGAACTCAGACCCACACCCAGAACATTTACACTGTCTGAGCTTTGTTGTTATTGTTGTTTTGTTGTTGTTGTTGTTGCCATAACAAAAGTTCGCCCATCCCCTCTTACTTTTTCTAACCAATCATAATCTTATTTGCTATTTAGTTCTAATTTTAAAACCCATCAAGTCAGCGGCCGATTTTCCCCAGTTCTGACCTTCCATTTGTAGGTATGCCTCTTTTCCCAGTTTTCTGTGCCTAGTTGCCTAGCTCCCAAAGTCAGGAACCATGGTTTGCATTGCTTTTGTTTTCTTCGCTGTGCTTTGCACAGTGCTAACAGGCACTCGTTGTTGGACAAATACTTGCTAATTTTAAATTAAAGAGAATTGAACCAATTGTTTTCTTTGCTTGAAGTTGGTTATAACAGGTTGGAAAAATATTATGTTTAATCTCCATCTCTTCTCATGTGTTTATGGTCTGTTTTATAGCCAAGAAATAAAAGTCAGTATAACGTAGGCCTAACAAATGTGGAGGCCTCCTCTGCTGGGCAGTCTACAGGATTAAAACTCATGCCAGCTGGATCTCACTGCTTTTCAGCTGGCTCTCCCTTGAGGGAGGGGAGAGAATAGGCAAAATGCCTTGGGCTCTGAGAGTGGGAATGGTGTTTCCTTATGCAAGAGTAGAAGCTTGTCTTCCCCCTGCAAATGCAAATCTTGCCATGAGGTTATAGCCACAGAATGTATAGATATCATTAGAAATCTAGAGAGGGATTTTTCCCTAGAAAAATATTGTAAACTTTAAAAAGCCAATAGACTAAGGCACAATTTGGTATAATCCTCTGGCCAATGCCTGCCTGTACTTGGATGGTTGTACAAGAGGAGGGGAATCATGGGACTTTCTCCAGCTCACATCTGGCAGGTCATTGGTAGATTGCTTTAAAGTTACACACTGTGTGTTGCACTCTGTCCTCCACTGGGACGTTTCATCTCACCTAGAACCCAGAAAAGGGTTCTCTCATACAGAAGCTGCCACGTGAAGCCTGCCCAGTGGAAGAGGTCAGCTTACACTGGAATCAAACAGAATGCCTGCCATGGGCCTGGTTGTGTGATGGAGAGTTCACTGGGGAAGGGCAACAGGCTGCCTTTGGAGTTGCCACGCCCTGAGCCAGCAACAGTGCTAGGAGAGAGCATTAGTCTCTAAGGAAGCCCGGCTCCTACAGAATCCAGCCTCATTCTTCATCTTCTCTGCTGCCACCCTAGTCGGAGAGTGAGAGTTGGGTCCCTATGCCATGCTCTCAGCGGCAGTGAACTGTTCTCACCTCCTGTTTGGGAGAAGAAGGGCATTTTTAAATATCCTTTGTTTTGCTATAGGAGTGTGAAAATAGACTTCTGCTTAATTTTGCTTTGGGGGATTCTGATCTATTTGTTTTGTGAGATAGAATGTTTTCTATGGAGATACATTTGGCTCATAGAGGCATTGTGCTCATCAGTTTGTTACTGGCTCAAGGTTCTCATGCCAGATGCTTCAAAGGCCAATAGTCAGAGTTTGAAGTAGGGAAAGGATTATTGATGGAGAAGGTGCCATCTGGAAAAGATGGAGGGATGCATTATAGCTTCTGCAAATCCCTTTTAAGAGAACCCAGAATTCAGGCATCTTTTATGGCAGGAGAAGGGAGGAGGGACAGGGCAAGAGGAGAGGTGTGTGTCTTCCAGGCACCAGCTGGGACCCAAGGAAGAGCAGGGAATCTCTAAATCTGTTTGTTCCCCTGCTTCCCAGAGGCCCAGAAATCTTTACCAAAAGCTCCAACCTCAAGCAGAATTCCTCTGATAATTAGTATCTCTGGAGCAGGAGCTGTTCACCTAAAGGCCAGGGGAGAAACACAGGCTAGAATGAAGAAGGTCGAAGAGAGCCAGCAACACCCCCTGGGAGGAGTGAAGTTCATGTGCAGGCCGTGGGAAGGGGTCAGCAAAGTTCCCAGGTGTCTGGCATCTGCCAGGCTCTTTGAGTTGTTTGGAGAGGTGACTTGCAAACCAGTGAAAGCAGCCTTCTGGGAACCACACACCTCTTTTCCTCTCAGGAAGCAAAACACTGGCCTGCGAATTGGGAATCTCTGCTGCAACTGGACATCAAGAGAGCTGTGCCTTGGAGGCTCTTTCCCTGCCACCAAGCGCATGAGGGCTGAGGGCTGAAACCACCTCTTCGGGGGGCGCAGCTCCTCAATGCATTCCCTACTTGAAAGAATACTTTAACAATAAGCATTTAAAGGAAACATCCCATTACCAACAGGATGGCCTGAAAAGCCTAGAACATATCTGTCGTTAGCCTTTTTCTGCACTTCCGCTGAGGCTTCAAACTATTCACCGAGGAGCAGAGTTTCCTCGGGGAGATGCCCAGAGGTTCCATTGGCACTGTAGACAGGGACGAAGCAAGGACATTGGGCAGAGCATTCCAGGTTAGGAATTTAAAACGTGGATGTTGTAAATCTCACCGCTGGTGAAGTGGTGGAGAATTAAGATACACTCTCGGTCCTCTGAAGGACTCCCCGGGGCAGACGATGAGTGGTCCTCATACATGTCGGCACACACATCCGTATTGGACAGTGTAGGTAGAGATGTGTTTCTTAGAATTTTTAAGAGCACAAAAGCACATGGAACAGCCCTAGCCAGTTTTGCCCAGTGAATAGAACATCGGCCTGCAGACTGAAGGGTCCCAGGTTTGATTCCAGTTAAGGGCACATGCCCAGGTTGCAGGCTTGATTCCAAGTAGGGGGCGTGCAGGAGGCAGCTGATCAATGATTTTCTCTCATCATTGATGTTTCTATCTCTCTTTTCCTCTATAAAATCAATAAAAATATATATTTAAGGAAAAAAAGCATATGGAACAAAAACAATGGTGGGTTACCCACTGTCTGAAAATGAAAGTATAGACCCTGAGACACTGTTTACAGATTCAGAATTATGCAGCCATTCCTGGGGACCAAGCCATCCCATTACCCATGAATACATTCTTGTTCACCATTTCTGCCTGGTGCGGGGTAGTGAGCAAGGCTCTTTCATTGTTGTTGAGAGGACACAGTAACAAGCATGAGGCCAGTAGGGTCCCTGATGGAGCTCTGCATGTGGTGATCAGATGCCTCTGTGATTTCAGGGAGATAATGGTGTTAGTTGTCAACAACTCTCCAGATGGCAATCTGCTGAGTTCACTTTAAATCAGCCCAAACTCGCCCCTTGATAGGTATTGAAGTGGACACCTTGTTTATTTACCCCAAAGAAGCTTATTTCCACCGGGCAGAGGTGGATGCCGGCCAGGCATGTGATCTATCTGCTTCACCATTCATCAAACTGGAGGGTCAAGGTGTGGCCACATGTGGGGTTCCCAATGGCTAGAGGCATGAATGGACCCTTCTTCTGTGATCCTGAGGTGTTCTGATTCCTCCCAAAACTCCTTAAGCCCCTGGAGGATGCTGGGGAGGCCCTGAGGCAGCACCCAGCTTCTGTTTTCTTTTCTTCTCTCCTTTGTGCCGCCCTCCAGCTAAGCCTCCATGGGATGGCTTGTTAGCCCGGGATTGGATATTGTGAGTGCTCATTGAGCTCTTTGGTTCACTGGGAAACACACTAGAGCACTTTTATTACGATTGCAGTAGGTTGTCTTACTATTCGTTTTATGGCCCTGTGATTGTTGACACCGATGAAAAGTTTTTATATTTCCTGGTTCTATTAAAGCGAACCACACTGGCCCCCTTATAGGAGCAATGTGTGGGGTGGTTCTGTGGCTGCGGGCGGGGATATGAAGATCTCTAGGGTCCGTGTGATTCCTGAGGGCAGCACCCACCAGGAGGAAACTTGATTACAACCTGCTATTGGCTCCCAGGAAAAGTATGACACTGTGAGACTCTGAGAGATGACTAGGGTTTGCTCTAGAACTGCCATCCACGTCAGCTCACATGTGTTTTCCACAGCCTTTAAATGGCATTTAGAGATTATGGTCTGCTCGGCATCGGCTTCATCTTCTGCTTTTTTTGTGTGATTGCAGGTCCTACAGGTATGGATCTCTGGAAGCTGCTGTTGACCTTGGCAGTGGCTGGCTCAAGTGATGCTTTTTTGGGGAGTGAAGGTGAGTTCTACTTCCCTGTTCCCACCCGCAGTATTTTGAAATAACGGTGAACTTTATTTGTTAAATCTAAGTTCTTGGGATGATGTCATCAAAGCGTGTTGCCTGTTAAGGAGAGGCAAATAGGAAATGTGTCTTCAGAATCATGAACTCGGAGGGCTTTTCTGTAGATGTTTTGCAGGAAACGCAGCAGCCAGCTTTGGCATCTGGTGTTTTTGCATCAAAAATAAGTGCCCCAAATCATGCTGCGGGCATTTATGTGAAGGCAAACCAGGTCTCTTGGTCCTCGGGCTCCGGGAAAGACACTGAAATTACCCTGAGTGGTTATTAGCCTACGGATCACTTAGCTCCTGTGTGATTAAGGGTACCGTCGTCTATTTGCAGAACTCAGAAGTAAGGCCTCTTAGTCATGTTCTCTGAGGGTGGAAATTGCAGGTTTCAAATAGATGTTGCCTCTTACTCTCTGAGTGGTGACCATCTGGCTGTGTTTGAAGGAAGAGACACCTGAAATAGTGAATAAGACACTCAGATGTCCCAGGCCTGCTGGGCCATCCATGCAGTTCTTCCTGGTTTTTCCCGTTTCCTGGTGGAAAAGTCAATCTATACAAACATGTCTCTCGGAGCAGAAATAACTGGACCAAGAAAAGGTAATGGAAGGAAGAAAGAAGTGTTTTTTCTGTCCAGAAAGAAAGCTGTGCTCAGAAGGAGGTGGGGAACTTCAGAGATTGTCATGTACTTGCTATTTTCCCGGCTTGGGCTTCCGCAGAGGGAATAAGCCATCTCTGTCTCCCAGGCTGTGACGCCACATGCAGTGGCTGCTTTCAGAGTAGCTGAGTCCCTCTGCTCACCGGGCAGCTCGTGTTGGGAACGAGAGTTCCAGAGCAGAGGTGGTGCCCTCAGAAGTCCTCCCTGACCTTTGAGCCCAAAATAAATCCGTAGTAGTGAGCTGCTGAGGGCGACCAGGGTAACTAAGAGCACAAGCACGGTAAACTATGTGCCTTTATCTCTGAAAGCAATGGAGAAATATTTATAGAAAAGCAGTCATAATTGTTTGAAATAGTTTTGGGTCTCTCTGGTGTCATAATGTCAACATTGTGCAAGTCGGACATGGAGGGATCGCAGGCCACGGCTCAGCAGCTTTTCCCAGGGCCGGCTTTAGACCCTGGTCCCGAGCCAAGGCCTTGCGGCCGGGCTGCTCACCATCCCACAGTCACAGCGCTCTGCTCCCAACTTGCTTCGTTAAGGTGACTTTCACGCCACTGGGCAGGGCTTGGGGGATTTTAAAAACCCGTGAAATGGAAAGTATGGCACATGAAATCTCTAACGATGGATCTTTAAAAATGTATCCCCAGCTGAACGATGAACTCAAGTTACACGTTAGACCTAGAACATCTGCAAAGAGCCTCGCTCTCGGCGGCTTTGACATTTTAGCTCGGACATAAACCTTTGGCTTCGTGGGGAAAGTGGAGAAAACAGCCCCATTAGCTGGCTCCCTGTGTGCCCTTTGGTTTTGCTCTCTGGTGGTTATAGGTTTGCTTTGTGTGTGTGTGTCTGGGAGGAGCAGGGCACGAGAAAATGCAGTGCTCAGTAGTAAACACCAATCCGGCAGCCAGCCAGCACTTGCACACAGTAAGGAATGTAGCAAAGGAACAACTTTCTTCCTGCCCCTTTTTCCTCTCAGTGAGCTAACCAAAATCCCTTTGAAGTGTGTGGCTACTCCAGAATTCTTCCTTAAAATGGCCTGGGAATTGTCAGGGATGGTGCCTAATGTTTCTGTAGGGAGGTGTAGAGAGGCATGTTTGAGCATGAGTGTGCCATCCTGGCCATTTACCTGATGGATTTATCCAAAGCGATCACATGACAGGACGAGGATTCGATGTCAGATAACATCCCTGGGCCATGTGTTTCTTTTTCTGCCAGGGCCGGATTATAGCCAAATCATTTTATTTTTACTTCCTCTCCCATTGGACAAGGTAGACTAAAATTACAGGTGAGAATGGAAAAAGCAAAACAAAACAAACTCTGGTGTAGTTCGCCACCCATTCATGTGGATTCCGTTTGGTCAGTCAGAGGTGCACTCTGCAGGGGGAGGGATCTGGGGAGCGTCCCCTGGAGAAAGGCATCTGGGGAGCTGAGAGGAGATGACAGATGTATGTGCCTGGGGAAGGTTGGCACCTGAAGTGTTGAACAGGGATTTTCGTGCCTGGGCAGATGAGCAATTAGAGATATACTGGCCCTGAGAGGCTTTTTTATTAAGTCTAGTTGCCCTATGGGAGATTTAACAAGAACTAAACACTGAACAGTGCCACCATTGTCTTCGCTCGTGTTGCAATAGATGCTCCCTCGCCTTTCATCCTGCACACTAGTCTCTCCACCTGCTCCTCACGGCAGGTTACAGTCTCGGGGAGATTTCTTATTCCAGGATCAGGAGTGACCAGCAACGCCTCATTTCCAGGGGCCTTCACGGGGTTGAACTGTCAACTGGCCGCTTCAAAACTGCCCCTTCTGAGTTTAGTGAGGAATGTGTTTACAGATTTGATGGACGGGAATTTTCTTCCGAGGAGTGCCTGTTATGAACGAATCTTATCTCTCTTATTTCAGTTAGCCCACCCCTGAGCGTCCTCTTTGCTGGATGCTCCCACCTCAGCAACCTAAGGCGGGAGTTGGCCTGCCTGAAAAGTTCGGTCTAGTTGGGATGTGAGGAACTCCTAGAAATTAATGAGAGACCATAGAGCTTGAATGTCTAGATGGTGTGAAGGATACTAATGGCTCTGAAAAAGAATCAAGGTGTCAATTCAACAAATTCAATGTACAAATATTTTTTCAGAGCTTTCTGTTTTCAAAGATTGCACTTAGGGCTCTGAGCAATACAGTGATTCACCCCTCAAGGAACTTACCATGAGTTAAGAGATCAGGATATACACAAAGAATTATGGTAGGGCCCTGCCAGTGTGGCTCAGTGGTTGAGTGTTGACTATGAACCAGGAGGTTACAATTTGATTCCTGGTCAGGCCACATGCCCGGGTTGGGGGCTTGATTCCCAGTAAGGAGCATGCAAGAGGCAGCCAGTCAAAGATTCTCTCTCATCGTTGTTTCTGTCTCTTCCTCTTCCTTCCTCTCTGCAATCAATAAAAATACATATTTTTAAAAATTACAGTAGGAAACAATGTTGATTAACTATGGAAATAGTAGCCCATACTGCAGTCTTTACAAGTGAGGAAAGGAACTTTCTGACTGTAACATAATAGAGAGAACTTCACAGAAGCTGGAATATAGGAGAAGCTGGTGTGATAAGGGAGCAGCATAAATAGGCGTGCATAGGAATCGACATGAGGTGGCACAGAGAACAGGTTTCTATTCTGGACAGGGCGCTGTTCCAGGCAATGCATGGTTCCAGTTCACTCATTAAGTATCAAAGATACGTTTTGAGCCTCTACTTTGTGGAAGGAATAGGATTAATTTGGCCAGAGTGTGGTACATGAGCACGGTAATTGTAACTATTCACTTTGGAAGTAAACTTAGGTCAATAGATTGGAGTCAAATTACAGAAGGCCTACAGGTGGTAAAAGCTTTGTGGAGAAGATAAGACTTACTGGGCCTTCACCATGGCTATTATTTTGGAGAGGAAGAGAAGTAATATATGACACATCCTGCAAGTCATGGTTTTTCTCAAGAATTGTAGGCCAGCCAAAAGTGCTAAGCTCATAATAGAACATTTGTGTGTATGTGTGTAATATTTATATACAGCATATGTAATATTTACATATATTATATGTATGTCTGTACATTACATAAAAATATTATATTAAATATGTAATTATATATATACTAGAGGCCCAGTACATGATATTTGTGCACTGGGAGGATCCCACAGCCCGACCTGCACCCTGTCACAGTCTGGGATTCCCCTGAGGGGTCCTTAGCATTGCTGTAGAGGCTCCCTCCACCACCACTGTGCTCGCCAGCCATGAGCCTGGCTTCTGGCCAAGCAGTACTCCCCCTGTGGGGGCGCACTGGTCAATAGAGGGCAGCTCCTGCATTGAGCATCTGTCCCCTGGTGGTCAGTGCATGTCATAGTGACCAGTTGTTCCGCTGTTGGGTCGATTTGCATATTAGGGTTTTATTATATGGATATTTTAGTTGTGGCTTGCAGGCATAGCACATAATTATTATCTTATCACTCTAAAGATTTAAAGGTTCTTCATTGTTCTAGTCCTCTCAAGATAAGAACCATATGCTAGGAGTGAGATGCTATGTCCTGAAGAAACCAGGATCCCCAAACAATGTTCTCTATATGCCTTTGGACAATTTCCATAAACCTATGCACACTGACACAGCACTTGTATGGAAGAAGAGACACTTCTGTTCTCAGATCAGAAATAATGGCTTAATAGAAGGAACATCTATTTTTCTAAATAAACCCTGCCCCATTACAGTTGCAGCTTGCAGAGCCCTGGGCAGCTGCCAAGACATACAGGTTCTATTTTCAGCAGGTATGAGAGCCGTGGCTGTAGATGGGAGACAGTAAAGAGTGTGCCTATTAAGTATTTTCAAGGAGGAGCAAACAATCCAAGGCTTCCCATTCAGCAGACGTGACAGAGACACCACAGAGTTTTAGATGCTGTCATCTCTCTGTCGCCATGAGGCCAGGGGCAATCTTACAGTGTCTTTCAGTGCCAGGGCCTGAGTCCATGCACATCAGCAACCCCGCATCACCTGGTCCTCCTGGTATCACAAACAGCTTTGACCTCGGACTCAGTAGGCCATCGCAGGCCAGGGTATAGAGCTTCTGGTCTTATCTATCTAGTGCCAATGGAAGATATGAGCTTAGATCTTTGGAGATAATAACACAGAACACTCAGCGTGTTCTTACTGAGCACTGTAATGGATTCCAGGGGGAATTTTATATTTGTGTTTTCCTTTAAGAGGCTCATGGTCTGTAGAAGAGAAGAAAGACCCCAAAAAATTGATTTTGGTCCTCTTAGATTATGGAAGAGTTTTAA